TTCCTTTGTACCCAGGTTGCCAGCTGGTATCATTTCCCTTCATCCTGAAACACTTCCTTTAATATTTCTTGTAGGGGAAATCTCCTAGTGACAAATTCTTTGTTTTTATTACCTAAAAATGTTCTTATTTTGTTTTCTTTTCTTTTCTTTTTTTTTTTTTTTTTTTTTTTTTTTTTTTTTTTTTTTTTTTTTTTTGGTTTTCATTTTTTGAAGGATAGTTTAGCTGGATATAGAATCCATGGTTGATAGTTTTTTGTCTTTCAGCACACTGAATATGACAGTTCCAATGTCTTTTGTCCTCCGTTATTTCTCATGAGTCACCAACGGATAATGGTATCATTGTTTTCCTTGGATATAATAGGCCATTTTTTTCTTTTGTTGCTTTCAAAATTTTGTCTTTATCTTTGGCATTGTGAAGTTTCTGATGTGCCTAGGAGTGATTTGCTTAAGGAGGTTCTTTGAGTGTCTTAGATCTGTAAGTTGATGTTTTTCACAAAATCTGTGATTTTTGTGGGTTCATTATTTCTTCATATATGTTTTTGAGCAGACTCCTCCCTGAGCACAGAGTACAACACAGGGCTTAGTCTTACAACCCTGAGATCATGACCCGAGCCAAAATCAAGAGTTGGAAGCTTAACTGATTGAGCCACCTAAGTGTCCCAAAAGCAAAAAACTTAAAAACCACTCCTCATTGGAAATATAACTACCAAATAAATTTAAGGTGGCAATGAAATGGTCAAGTACAGTCTACTCATTCTTGAATTTTTATGTGGCTTCCAGACAGCTCTATGCCCCAAGAGTCATTGGGACTTTGTTAAATAATATTTTATATTTTAATCTCAGTTTTGTTTAGTATTGTTGCATTTTATTTGAAGCTATTAGACCAATGTTGAAATATTACAGAACAAAGATATCTTTTTTCTTTTTTTTAAAGATTTTATTTATTTATTTGACAGAGAGAGATCACAAGTAGGCAGAGAGGCAGGGAGAGAGAGAGGGGGGAAGCAGGCTCCCTGCTGAGCAGAGAGCCTGATGTGGGGCCCGATCCCAGAACCCCGGGATCACAACCTGAGCCAAAGGCAGAGGCATTAACCCACTGAGCCACTGAGGCGCCCCCCGAACAAAGATATCTTGAAAGAGGCCAAGATCAAGTGGAAATGTGGGTTGGGGCTACTGAAAAAGGGCAAAAGAGTATCAACCTTAAACTAGCCATAGTAGTTCTTCCCTTTGAGTATTTTTGATTGTAAACACTTTGCCCTTGCAGTCATTTATACCTGCATAATTATAACACCTTTATTTTACTTAATATGCAGGAAGGCCTTCTTTTTTTATTTTTTTTTAAGATTATTTTTTATTTATTTATTTGATAGACAGAGACCACAAGTAGGCAGAGAAGCAGAGAGGCAGAGAGAGAGGGGGAAGCAGGCTTCCCGCTGAGCAGAGAGCCCCATGTGGACCTTGATCCCGGGACCCTGAGACCATGACCTGAGCCAAAGGCAGAGGCTTAACCCACTGAGCCACCCAGGTGCCCCTTCTTTTTTATTTTTTAAAGATTTTGTTTATTTACTTGAGAGAGCGAGAGCACGAGAGGGGGGAGGGGCAGAGGGAGAGGACACAGAGCTCAGTATCAGGACCCTGAGATCATAACCTGAGCTGAAGACAGACGCTTAACTGACTGAGCCAGCCAGGTGCCCATACAGGAAAATCTTCTTATATATTAAACCTAACACTTCCTTTGAGTGATGTGCATTCTCCTTTGGCCATATACCGAGAGCTGGGATTGATTCTCGGTATGGAGTAGGAAATAAAGGATCTGAATGGGAAAATTGGAAAGCTTCCTGGTATTTTTGAAAAAGATTTCTCATCATGGCCTTTCTTGGATATCTCTCTCTATAATATCACACACACATATATACAAACACATTCTAAAGACTTTATTATACATTTTTGACGTCTGTATCTCTTAAGGCATTTATCACATTCTATGTGGTATTCTTTTTGTTTGTTTGTTTTGTTTTTTTTAAGATTTTATTTATTTATTTGACAGAGAGATCACAAGTAGGCAGAGAGGCAGGCAGAGAGAGGAAGGAAAGCAGGCTCCCTGCTGAGCAGAGAGCCCGATGTGGGGCTTGATCCCAGGACCCTGAGATCATGACCTGAGCTGAAGGCAGAGGTTTTAACCCACTGAGCCACCCAGGCGCCCCTCTATGTGGTGTTCTGATTGGACTTCTGTTTGCATATATGTTACTAGACTGAAAATTATTGAAAGGTAGAGAAATCTCTTAGTTGTTTTTGTATTCTCAACAGCCTAGGATAGTGCCTTGAAGGTAGTAGGCACTTTTAATAGGAAGGGAGAGAATGTTGTATTCTATAATTTAAATAGCACCTCTTCCATTGAAAAAGATTTGTTTTCTCAACAATAATAGGAAACCTTGTGCAGGTATTTGGTTGAATTCCATCGAGGGACTGGGCTAGTTTGCATTATTTATTTATTTATTTTTATGTTATGTTATGTTTTGTTATGTTAGTCACCATACAGTACTTCATTAGTTTTTGATGTAGTGTTCCGTGATTTATTGTTTGCATATTTTTAAAAAAATTTGTTTATTTGACAGGGAGAGATCACAAGTAGGCAGAGAGGCAGGCAGAGAGAAAGGGGGAAGCAGGCTCCCTGTTGAGCAGAGACCCCGATGCAGGGACCCTGAGATCATGACCTGAGCCGAAGGCAGAGGCTTAACTCACTGAGCCACCCAGGTGCCCCTGCACATTTTTTAAATAAAAATTTTACCATGCTCAGGACAGTGACTATGGACTTCAGTTTCTCAGTTGTTAAATGAACTTAATAAGAGGACCTACCTACAATGTTTTGGGGATTAAATGAGATCATCTCTGAGTATGCAAATATATTACCTCAAAATTTTATTGAGTTTTTATTAATAATAATCACAGACTTGGCAGGGGTGAAAGGTGATAGTAGTCTTTCATATTTATAATGTGTATCATAACCATAAGACCTTGCATTCTCTGGGTTGTCATGTTAAAACGTTATAAAAGCTAGAAGTTTTATAAGTTAACAATGGCAAGTAATTATTCATTCAGGAATTAGTTTCTTCTTGAATTTGATCAGAAGATGGACCTAACCTAATCTGTTGCTGATTATTATCATAACAGAATGTGCTGTTGGGATTTTAGCCAAGACACTAAAGTACAATAGAGTGAAATTCAAAAGTGACCTATTTCAAGAACAAGTTAGAGGCTCTAAAAGCCGTAAGAAGTACACTTACAGGTCAAGCAAGAACATTTTGTGAATATTCTTTCAGAAAATTACGCTGTGGCTTCTTCTTAGCATATGGGAGAAGTAGGGGTGCATGCTTTCTCACTTGGTATCAAGTGAGGGGAACTTGAAAGGGACCATTTAGAGATTTGAAGAGTTCTCTTCAGTGAGGGGATGCAGAGGACTGGGGTCTGAATCCCCTGAGAAATCCAAGGAGAAAACTAAAACTGGGTAACTGCTTCCGTAGGCAAAGCTGTCCAAGAGGTGTGTGTGTTGGAGTTTGTCTACACTCCCACATTTGTCAGGGCAAAGCAACATGAATGTTTCCTGTACATCAGAGGCAGGCCTCATGGAAGAGAGGGGCAGTCTGGAGCTGTTTTGATTCCTGCCCAGGTACACTGCCTATAAAGACAATGAAGCTCCAATAGTTGGTCTTTTAAGTGACAGCAAGAAAGCCAGGAGGAAAATGAATTATCCTTGTCAGTGGAGCTACAGCCAGAAGGTCTCTGAGGTGAGACTCTGGAGAACCCACAAAAGTACATCTGAGAAAAAAGAGTCAGCTTCAAACGTGATCAGACAGGTCTTCGGGCAGGACCACTTACAATGGAATCTGCCTTCCTTGTCCCAGCTTCTCTCTTTCCCATACCTACTTAAGAGAGTATGGCAGCTAGGGAAGGGGAGAAGAGGTCAGGAAAAGAGACAAAGCTGGGGTTGGGGAAAAAAAGTAGGTGTTAGACCCTCTTTGAGGATCAGCAGACAGACTCAGGGGGAGTGAATTGCCTAAGGATATATTGTAGTTATACGGTCAAGGGATTTGGACCTAATCTGTTTGTTGTTTAGCCACATTTGCTTAGGTTCCATTCATTTTTTCATACTTTTTAAGAAGAATTTATAAACTTAATATCTTAGATCACTCATTTCTTTGGCAGAAAGTTGCCCTAATTTGTATTCAGTATTAATTTCTCTCTCTCTCTCTCTCTTTTTTTTGGTTCCCTTTTGTTTTAGTTTTTACAGAGTCAGGACAGGAAATTATGACTTCTGATTCTTAAGTTTGTGTGTGTGTGTGTGTGTGTGTGTGTGTGTGATGATAACATACTTTCAGAAAAAAAGGAAAAAAGAATGTATGTGTGGTTTCATAAATAAAGTGACACCCAGAAACTATTATCCAGGTCAACAAATAGATGTATTTCTTGATGTATGTATGTCTTGATTCTCTTAGCACAAGAACTAAGCCCAGACTCTAGTAGGCAGATGTTCAGTTCTTAACTACTGAGTCCCAATGATTATAATTCTGTTTCTTCTCCCTAAGCGTTAGCCACTATCCTTACTTCCAGTGGTCACCATTTCTTCAGTTTGACCACATAGGCATGCATTCCTAAATATATCTCATTTAAAAAAAAAAGTAGAAGTTGCTTAAAACCGTAGATAACAGGTTAGATATTAATAGTGTTTGCGTCCTAGAAGAATGATTTGGTTAAGAAAACAAACTTTTCAAGAATTCAATTAAACACAAATATTGGCTGTGCTAGTTATAATTAGTACTGGCAAGTCCTTTGAGCTGTGATTCAGATTTGCTTCTGATTTATTCCAACTCCCTCCCATTCCAAATTCCAAAAAGTAATACCTTTTTTGCACTGATATTGTTCTAAATATGCATTATATCCTATGGGATAAGTACCAATGCCATTTGCCATATCATAATGTCCCTTTTGTCCCTCTTTTTCAGCATGGGTAAGTTCTCTGTCCATGGGGATGATTTTCTTTTGCTGCCCAATAGCCAGTGTCTTCACAGACATGTTTGGTTGTCGGAAGACAGCTGTTGTGGGTGCCGCTGTTGGATTCATTGGACTCATGTCCAGTTCTTTTGTAAGGTAAGGACTTGGCTCTTCATGCTGCTTTTCTTTTCTTTTTTTTTTTTTAATATTTTATTTATTTATTTGACAGAGATCACAAATAGGCAGAGAGGCAGGCAGAGAGAGAGGAGGAAGCAGACTCCCCACAGAGCAGGGAGCCCAATGCGGGGCTCGATCCCAGGACCCTGGGATCATGACCTGAGCTGAAGGCAGAGGCTTTAACCCACTGAGCCACCCAGGTGTCCTTCATGCTGCTTTTCAAGAGCTGTTAGTTACCACAGAGTTGTTCCTTCAGAAACTTTGCTGTTTACGAGGAAAAAATCCTCCTTTTCATTGCATAAGCTTTAAGCGGTATGACTTAAACAGTGTTATCCGGAGTAGCAAGTCAGAGCTTCATAATTTGAAAGCTTTTGCTTGCAGCACTCTCATATTTTTCATTCAATTGTGTTTTTAATCTACTGATCAGAAGCTACGAAGCTTTCAGAGGAGCAAGGGGAGATGTGATATAAATTCCAGGGGTCGAGCCCACTTTCCTGTAGTTCAGGTTCTGCCTTCTTAGGAAAGCCTTCTCTAGCAGCTCTAGGTCACATCTATTTCCTGCTCGGAATCCTTTTTACACACACAATTGTTACTGACTTACACTGCACTTCAGTTGTCAGACTTCAACAGCTGGAACGAGCTGTTACTGAGGTGAAAATTTAGAAGTGAGAGAGACTCAGGATCAGTGAAAATGCCATCGTTTATGCTGATGTGCTGTACTCTGTGGGGGAGATACGAAGCTAGTATCGCCCAGCATTTAGTATTTAAAATAGTGTGCAAGAAAGTGTTTCCGATTTATATCCATGGCTCTCTAGGTTTCCACCTGACAGCTTTACAGTATTGTGGAATAATTGTTCGGATATAGATGTTCGTGATGATACTGTTGTCAGTACTATTTTTAGTATATGTTTTGAAAAAGGCAGAGAAAAGTATAATCTAGGTTTTTCCCTTAAAATTGTTAAATAAAAATAAGTTAGCCTTTAAGAAATAAGCAGCAGTTATCTGGAAAACTGTGCTATGTGGAAAAACTGAGGAAGAATGAATGAAGTATTATTTATATTTTGTTCTATGTTATTATTTGTTTCACTAAGCAGATTATAAGCAGGGCATTTGCACATTTACAATTTTTTTTTTTTACCAAGTAACTGGAACATATGGTTGCTAAATAATGTTATGGAATAGAGTGCAGATTCAGGAAAGGGTGATCAGAGCGAGGTAAAATTAATTTGGGAAAGCTCAGGGGTGACTCTTGGGCCTCTTTTGGAGATTGTGCTAGCTGTGGGTGACTAGAGGGGGAAGGGCATTCTGGAGAGAGGATTGCCAACATGCCTTGATTTTATCAGATTCTAGCGTTCCTTATGATTACCTTAGCATATTGCTAGACTAGTATTATTGTTCAAAATTTAATTATTAACCAACTTTATCTGTGTTGGTTTCTAATAAATAATTTGCCTTTACTACTGATATACAGCTTTTTGAATAGACTTTTCAAAAGAAAAAACTTAGTTTTCTTTTATTTCTTACTTTAATTTTTTGCAAAAAATGTAATAATACAATCCTTTACATTCATAAGAGATGTTTAATTAACTTATTTTTGGTTAAAGTATAAAATTCATAATCCTTTATTATTCTTTTGAAGTCTTTATGCCCTTAAAACTTATAAGGTGGGATCACTAATAACACACTTCACTTAGTCTTTCTGCAATCAGAATATAATTTCTTGTTATCTTGCACAACACTGAGAACAGTGCAGTACAGGGCGAAGGTTGGTCTACAGCCCTTAGGCCAACAAAAATGAGGTACAACTGCTTCTCTGTGCAAATGTTTCTGACCTAACTTTGGGGAGAAAATGTCCAATGCAGCTTTTCCTTTGAATAGATTGCTTAGTAAGTGCCTGGGAAATCTCAATAAAATAATGAATTTCCATTGTAAAATGATAACTGGTCAAAACTTTTTTTGAGATGAGGTTTTTTGCTAGTTAGTGTCAGTGTTACTGAAGCCCTTCCTGGCCCTGTCCTTCCTGAGTTGTGGAGAGCACAGCAGTTCTTACCGAGTGCTGCGTGGTCACCTGAAATCCATGGAAAGAGGAAGAGGAACAAAATCACAGATGGCCTTCCTGGTCATTTGTTCATATACTTGAGGCATTTTATTATCCATTCAGGGTGAATTAAAATATTTTCGCTGTCCTATTCTTGATGTATTAAGCTTTTCACCTCTTTTTTGGTAAGTCTTTATTTGTAGAAAATATTTTGATGAACTAAAACCCCCTTTCCTATGAGGTTTTGTTCTGCCAAGCCCTCAAAACGAATAATGAAAGCACTCTTCCTCTTTTTCATCTTTACACAGCTCCATCGAGCCTCTGTACCTTACCTATGGAGTCATATTTGCCTGTGGCTGCTCCTTTGCCTACCAGCCCTCCTTGGTCATTTTGGGACACTATTTCAAGAAGCGCCTCGGCCTGGTGAACGGCATCGTCACCGCTGGGAGCAGCATCTTCACAATTTTGCTGCCTTTGCTCTTAAGGCTTCTGACTGACAGCGTGGGCCTCTTCTACACACTGAGGGTCCTCTGCATCTTCATGTTTGTCCTCTTTCTGGCTAGCTTTACTTACCGACCTCTTGTTCCAAATGCCAAAGATAAAGAGAGTGGAACCAAAGGAGGCAACAGATTCTCCCTCTTTTCCAGGAGGAAGTTTAGTCCTCCAAAAAAAATTTTCAATTTTGCCATCTTCAAGGTGACAGCTTATGCAGTTTGGGCAGCTGGAATACCACTTGCACTTTTTGGATACTTTGTGCCTTATGTTCACTTGGTGAGTATGCTTCTTTGGCTTTGCTGGTAATGGATATCGTGATTTCATACTGGAAAAGTTCTTAGAAGAGCAAGAGAGATCACATTGAACTTGGCCTTAAACATTATCCTGGCTGTAATTCAGCGACTCTTGAAATTCAGGGTCCCTTAAGACAAGGTCAACACACCTGTCAGATCATTAGATAGAAGGTACGCTTCCTGGTGTGCTTTGGTGTTTTAAAAATTGCCAAACCTAAATGAACAGAAACAACTTTAAAAAATTTAAAAAAAAAAAAACGAGGAAGGCTTAAATACTAGAACAAATGTCGTCGATACAGAAACTTAATAGGTCACATTTTCTTTAAGTAGCTTGTAAATCATAATCAGGGACAAAGATGGTGCAATGATTTTGCCAACATCAGTAAATTATTTTTTGATAAAAAGGTACAGAAATTAGGTAAATTGTAAAAGCCAATGGGCTTGACACAAAGAAGCATTACATCTACTTGTAGGATACTTCTGGGAGAATGGGAGTTCTTTTCAGAGGATTATCGAAGTGAGAGAATTGTTAGCAAATTCCAAATGTGGGGAGAACAAGATTTCACAGGAAATTAAGAATTCAAGGGCTCAAACAATTTATATTGTTTACGTCTATCTCAGAGGCAAATTTAAGCCTCTTTATACTGATACAAGAATTAGCAGTATCTGAAGTATTTGCCCCCGGCAAAATTTGCTCAAAGTGCTTATTATGTTTCTTCCTTTTTTTCTTACTGTTGTGGCTAAAAATGTATTTACAGTTCTATTTTTGGACATTCATGCAATTTTTCTTTAAAGTTTTGGTGGAAGTTGGTAACAGCTCAGGGAATTCTGGGCTCAAGGAGTCTGCTAGTAAACTATGTCATCAACTCTTGGTGGGTTCCTATGCTGAATTCAGAAAGGAATTAAGTCAAGGAAACAGGAAGAGAAATGGTAAATAGTCCTGGATCTAAGAATAATTTTGATTTCTCAATTCCTCTTATTCTCATTTTGCCACAAGTGTTGAAGAAGCCACTGGGATGACCAAAGGGAGGCAGGGAGAAGGACTAATTTTTAGTCCTCTGAGTCACTTGGCATTTTGCAGAGACTGAGGTACTAGGTAAAATGACCTGGTATGCAACCCCTGTCACATATGCAGTATGTGACTACATCTTGACCTACTAGTCCATTTTCGCACTTTTAGGAAGGCTTATCTAAACCATCTGAAGCTATTTTTTGTTAGAATATAGATCCATTGTGGAAGAGTTTCCTTTATCAACTATCTTTTCTGTAGCTTCTATGGTTAAAACATTTGTTGTGTCCTCAAAATGAGAAGACTTTTTAAAAAAATTCTTCTTTGGTACTACAAAGTGAGCATATGCAGAGAACTCAATATCTCAGTTTTGTTACTACCAGACATTTACCTAAGGACAAGTGGTAGGTGACAGTGTAGTCATTTCTGGTAACATATTTATAATCTGTAAAATAATTTCACATACATTATTTTATCTGACCTTCACAAAAAACCTGTGAAGTGGGCAAACTAAACAGTATTAGCTCACATTGTGCAGGCTGGAAAACAGATGAATCATTAGCAAAGATGTTAAGTGACTTCCCGTTCCCATTCAGAGATGTTAAATGAAATGAGTATGCCTAAGGAAATTTAATAAATATGTTCTTGGTTGTTGTCTTAAAGTAAAGTAAAGTAAATCAGATTTCGTAATGACGGATGATTAGTTTGTCATCAGGAGGCTGTAAATCAGATAGTACACAGAACAATAAGGTCTCTGTTAACTCTGATAAAGCCAGGTCTTTTTTCTGCTTTCCCTCCTTCTAGGCATGTTTTCTTACAAATGTGTTGCTCTTTTTCACTTGTGATTTTCTCTTTGTCAAACTGGTATAGCACCAAAAGCCATATCAGAGAGGAAACAGCAGACAGTTAAATGCCATGTGGGCTGTTTTAATCTTGTGTTTGATGGGTGCACGGAGTTTGTCACTGTGCTGTAAATTAAGGTTTGGATTGCGGATATCTAGTTAATCCAGGGTTCATGGATCCAGGCTTCCCCTTAGAGGAGGAAAAGGAGTCTCCCGTCATCTTTCCAAACACAAGTAGATGACGTTCAATTCGTATTAAACCCTTTATTGGGTGTTGAAGGGAATACACATGGGAGGTATAAGAAACTGTCAAAGGAGCATGAAATCTAGTACATGTTACAATAAAAGCTGTTATAGCTGGTAATTTTTACATATGTTATCTTATTTAATCTTCACAACATTGAAGTACTTAAAACATCTTCATTTCACTGATGAAAAGACTGAAGAACTGAAAGATTTAAAAACTTGCCCAGAGTCACAGAAATAGTGATTGGTAATTATTGATGTGGCACTTTTATTCCAGAAGCAGTGTTGTATCTTGGGTAAAGGTAAGGGCTCTGCAGTAAGACAGATCTGGGTTTTGTTCCTGACTATTTGCATGATCTTGAATAACATCTGTGAGAATCAGTTTCTTCATCTATAAAATAGGGATAAACCCAATTTTGTAGCATTGGTGTAAGGATTAGAGAAAATGTATGTAAAGCACTATCCAGTTCTGTTATAAAAATGAGAGTTAAAGACCATGTGATTGCCAATTGAGTGGTTTTTAAGTGAGCGCTATAAAAGATTCAAAGGAAAAAGATGATATCCATTTGGAAAAATGGTTAGTAAAAGCTTCACAGGATTGGAGTTGGGCCTTGAGCACGATATTTGGTGTTAAATTCAGATTCTTACTTAATCAACTAGGGAGCTAGTTTATCTAGGTCTTTGAAGATTCAGAAGTACAGTGAAATGATTAAGTAAAAAATTCTAAGATTTTGACCTGTTAGACTATACATGATGATTTGAGAGAGAATATGTGTGCTTTGTGTCAGTCTTGCTCTTAAAGCCCGGTTGGAGGTCTTATATTTTCCTAGTTGACTTTTTTTTTTAAAAGATTTTATTTATTTGTCAGAGAGAGAGAAAGAGAGAGAGCACAGGCAGGCAGAGTGGCAGGCAGAGGCAGAGGGAGAAGCAGTCTCCCCGCCGAGCAAGGAGCCCGATGTGGGACTCGATCCCAGGACGCTGGGATCATGACCTGAGCCGAAGGCAGTCGCTTAACCAACTGAGCCACCCAGGCGTCCCCTTAGTTGACTTTTTAAAGATGAAGTATCATGTTGCTTCCTGAAAGCTGTCAAATGATCTCTCTTTTAGGCCTGCCCATTTCTTAATCTCCATTGCGAGGGTACAAATCTTATAGATGAGTTTAGGTGAGGCTTAACTTTCTAAATAAACATTGTTAGTGGCAACTGCTTCAGTTTTTATTATTTGCCCCTTTTGGCTGAGAGTTGTTTTGCTTTGTTTCTGGGCTATATATTTATGGCTTCTCCTTATCCCATTTTTCTTCATTTGTTCTTAGAAGCATAACGCTCTTTCATTTTTCCTCCTCCCTCTCCATCACCCCCTAGTGTCTTTGCTGGTTCCTTTTTCACCCTGGCCCTTAATATCAGTGTGTCCTAGGGCTTCTCCCTAGTCTTTGTATCTACTCATCCCACGCAGTGGTTTCATCCAGTCTCCTGAGTTCAGACATTGTATATATGCCAGTGACTCTGAATTTGTACTTCTCACCCAGACCTCTTTCCTAAATTCTCTACCAGACTTTTAGAACCACCTCTACCAGACTTTTAGAACCACCTTAATATCTCTACTTGCATGACTGCTAGGTGTTTCAGATTTAACATGTCCAACCCTGAAGTCTTACCCCTTCACAAGCCTGCTCTGCCCCCAGCCGTGTCTATCTCAGGAGATGGCAGTGTCATCCTTCTTAGTGATCAGGCCCAGAACCTTGGTGTCACCTTGGCTCTTCTTTTTTCATGCCACACTCCTGATTCAGTCTGGAAATTCTGGTGGTTCTCCTTTCAAAATATATTCAGGATCCACCCTTCTTTCATCATTCTCAGTACTGCCCCATAGACCAGGCCACCATCATCCCTTGCCCAGATCCCTGAATTTACACATGTAGCTGGTCTCCCTGCTAACGTCCCTGCTCACTGCAGTTCTCTACACAGAGGCCACCCGTGTTCTTTCAACACATAAGTCACTCCGCTCAAAATCCTTCGTTGGCTCTCCATTTCTCTGAGAGTAAAAACTCTGGTTTGTAAGGTACTCCATCATTTGGCCCCTCTTCCCTGTCTGACCTCATCTTCTGTCTTTGCCTCCCTTGCTCACTCTGCTCCTGACACACTGCCCTGTTTGCTAGTCTTTTTTTTTTTTTTTTAAAGATTTTACTTTTAAGTAGTCTCTAAACCCAGTGTGGGCCTTGAACCCCACAACCCTATGATCAAGAGTTGCGTGCTCTTTTGACTAAGCCAGCCGGGCACCCTGTTACTCACCTTTTAATGACGCATACCTTGACCACTGGGTTAAAACTCCCTTCTTTCTTCTCCCCGCCACAGCATTCCCAAACCCCCACACTGCTTTTTCTTTTCTTTTTCCATAGCACCTAATACCTTATAACATAGTACATAATTTATTTTTTATGATTATTATTTGCTATCTGTATATATATCTCTGCTAGGATATAGCCTTGTTGGCTAAGGATCTTTTTGTTTTGTTCAGTGAGAGATCCCAAACACCTAGCACAATGCCTAGTGCACAGTGCGCCCTCAAGTATTTGTTCAATGACTGTATTATGGGTAAGTCTAAAACAACTCTATTAAGCAATTTCATTTTCTCACCATTTCAGTCTTTAAAATTCTCTCTTTGATGCCATAATGATTTTTTACATTTTATATGTCTCTCACATAGGACCTGATGGTTTTCGTAGTCATTAAACAGTGAATAACTCAAACTCGGCAAACCTCAGAATAATTAACACTAATGCCATCTGTTAATGGAGTAAAGAACTGATATGTTTTGCTTTGACCCACACCTTTATATGCATATGTTGAAATTGTCACTTGATAGAAGTAGAAGAAATTTCTCTCTGTCACT